GAGCTCCCGTGGCAGCTGAGCCCGCGGGGCGCCGCTCGCCGAGCCGCGGCCGCGGGAAGTTCGGCCGCCAGAAGGACGACCTGGCAGGCTGCGAGCGCCCGCTCCGCGAGAGCCGAGTTTGCCCGCAGCTGCCCCTCCCCGCCTCCGGGAGCCGAGCTCCTTACCTGCCCTCCGCCCACCCGCCGGCCCCTAGCCAACTTCTCCCTGCAACTGGGGGTAACAGGCAGTTCTTGCCCTCTCTACTGTCCCGACGGCACCCGTATGTCTCCGGACACCTGAACACCCCGGTCCCGCCGAGGAGCCTCCTGGTGGGGAGAGGAGCACCGGTCCCTCTCGCCCCGCACATCAACGCGGACCGCGGACGCCTCACCTCCGGGTCCCATCCCCTCCTTTTCCTCCAGGGGAGGAGGATGGGGTTGGAATCGCTTTCCCCGAGGATGCTCGTGTGGCTGGTGGCCTCGGGGATTGTTTTCTACGGGGAGCTGTGGGTCTGCGCTGGCCTCGATTATGATTACACTTTTAATGGGAACGAAGAGGATAAAGCCGAGACTATAGATTACAAGGACCCGTGTAAAGCCGGTAAGTGCCTCTCCAGGTCGGGACGCGGCGCGCCGGGGACCGCGGCGCTGGATTTCCGATGGGTGGCGGTGGGAGCTCACCTGTTTCCTTCCTTCCCTCGCCGGCCCCTCCGCCGCCCCTCCTTCTCTTCCCCTCCTTTCCTTCTCCTCCCCACCCCCAAGTGGCAGCCGCCGCGGCCCGAGTTGACTGGAGTTCTGTGCTAGTGGGATCGAATGCCAAGCTCCCGTCTCCCAGTTTGGGAAAAAACGTCCTAGAGTTCTGATTCCACCCCCCTCCCCCGGCAAAACGAAACAAGCCATAAACACAGCTGGCTGCCGTAGGTTTTAAATACCAGCACTCAGCGGGCTTTCTGCATCTGGAGGGGACAACACCTCCTCTTTGTTCCACGGCGCGGTTCCCCAGAGCTCGCCTGAGACCCAGTGGGCAGAGTTCCCCAGAAGGTGGGGGGATGGAATTGCTACCTCGGGACACCTTTGCTTCCTCTTTTGCCAGGGATTTCAAGTGTAGGTTCCAGGCCAGAAGGCCATTGTGACGACCTTGGAAGCTCTCACGCTAGACAGAATTCAAACGCATTTGCCCATTTAAAATAAACCCTAAGAAAATTTCCAAGTTGCTACCCCATTCAAACTTGTGTCTTCCTTCCTGCGCACACCCCCGCGAACTGCAGTGGGACTGGCACTGCCTCTTCTCCCCGGGTCCAGGATCTCCCCGGGACCCGCCCCGCCCCTCCGCGCGTCCGGTGCCTCTGCGGGTCTCCCCTCCCGCGCGGGGCGGCGCTTCCCTCCCGCCGCCTCAGGTCGGAGGCGCACGTGCCGCGGCCGGCGACCACGTGAGCGCAGCGCCCCGGGGCCAGCGCCCGCTCCGGCTCCGGCGGGGCTCCTGGTTCGTGCTCTGCTCAAGTGAGGTTGAGGTGACCCGAATGGAGTGTGGACTCACGACTAACTTCGGAAGGAAGGTTACAGGGGTTGTTGGGGCCGCCTTAGTAGAGTTGTTTGTAAGCTGAAGGCACGTTCTGTCCCATCTCAAGAGGTTGGGCTTTGGCGAAGCAACGAGGAAGGGAGTGGGCAGAGTGCCAAAACTGTCTATGGTGGATCTGTGACTGTGATTTCTTCCCTTCCAAAGCTAGGTAAATCTTACTCAACCTCTTCTGGGCCTGAAGGAAGGAGAGATGTATACAAACGAAGGAAGATGCTGGAAATTCCCTTGTAAATTTGTACCTTTTATGACACATTGGTCTGACAAGGAGGGTATGTGTGTTGTGATGGTGTTGCCAGATCTTTCTTGGTGCACTCTTACTGCAGTTCTTTATTCAAAACTCAGAGTAGCTTAGGAGAAACTTGTCAGTCTGGAACTCAGAATTCTGACTTAATTCAATTTTCCTTGCAAGTTTCCTTCTATCACCGTTAACACTCAATGAATCCCACCACAGTTTCTTGGCCTCCTACCCTGATGGTTTAGAGGACAAGACACTGTTCTGCTATGGTGGGTGCCTAGTGTTGGGCAACCAGAATTCAGTAGTATACAACTCCTTAAACATACTTTTATGGAGAAATATGTTTTGAATAATGTTTGTAACTGGGTAAAAATTGTGTGCTTTCTTGTTTTATGTAAGGTGGAAATGAAGTATGTTATTTCTAAAGATTGCCTAGGAAGACATCTACTCTGATGCTCTGTTGTGTGAAAGATTCAACCAGCTGTCAATTTGAGAAAACCAGGGCATGTGTATACACTGGTCTGATTTCAGGAAAATAAAAATAGTTTTCTATACAAATTAAAGGTTTAAAAATATTTAACTTTTAAAAATCATTAACTTAAAATATGAATATAAGAAGCATCAAAAACTAGCTCATACATTTTCAAAAGTCGTGTTGTTTCAGGCTTCTGTTACAAATTGTCCAGAAGAAGGTTCTGTGAACTTGTGTTTTTTTTCTATTTAAGAAACTTTTCAATTTTAAAATTTAAGTAGTTGCACCGTGTGTATTGAAACACACCTCACACATAAATGTTTATTTTCTTCGGCAAATAAACATCTAGGACAAAAAAAAAAGCTCTTTAATAGCATGTACTTTTGTTTTCCCTTAATGCTGGTTTATTTTTGAACATAGCTGCTGAAGTTAAAACAACTAAAACAACTTTGAATGGATCATCACTCTAATCTTATTTCTTCCCTATCCTTGAGTACAAGAGGCATGCCTCTGTGGTGTGTGTGTGTGTGTGTGTGTGTGTGTAGTGAAAGAGAAGTAAGAATAGCCCAAGTTTCTTTGGTTGAGAAGTATGCCCAAAATCTGAGATCACTTTTTAAATTATCAACTCTGCTTTTTTAATTTAGTGAAATGAACGGCTTTAACTTACCATCTTGGCTGAAGAGTGGCAGAATCTTCAGTGCCTCCCTTTTGGCACTGTATAAGACAAATAAAAGTTGTAATAACAGGAAAAAAATTAAATAGTACATTGAAATCCCAAACAAGAGTCAAAAAAAGGTCACTAAAATGAGAAACATGAGGACGGCTATGTGAAAGATAGCCTCGCAAAAGCAAGAGAGGGTGCTCTCCAGACTCGGGAGTACCTGTGATCTGCCCTTTCCAAAGGGCAGAGTGGAGGGCGTGGTCTTGACATAAAGTGGCCTTTGTGAACTCCTCTAAAAGGGATCTTAATGTTCCTCAAACTGCACAGCGGCTTGATGTCATAATGACTAACATTGCTTTATAGTTTCAAAGCACTTTTGAGTACATTACTTCAGCTCAACACAGCAGCCCAATATGGTAGAATGTGTTAATCTTCTCATTACACAGATAGGAGAAAAGATGCTTGATGAGGTTCAACACGTTAGTTAAGATTACCCAGAACTCCATTCCAAGTCTCCTGGCTGCAAAGTCTGGCTGTATTAAACGATTATACTGCAGTCTTAGCTGGCCCTTTGGAGGCCTTCCTTGAAATACAAACAATAGAAATTCATCCAGGTTTACCTGGAGTCTAGTCTATTAGAAATGCAGTTACTTTCACATCTGATATGAGTGAAATGACTAAGAATATAGTTTCATCTTTTCCAACCCCAATTAGAATATAAAGTCCTTGAGGACAGAGGTCATAACTAATTTTTAATGTTCATCACATGGATGGATTACCACTGTTAGATATCTAGTATATTCTCAATATCTATAGATTATTAGTATTGATCTTCATCCGTTATCTAGAAACGTCTCTTCTAACCAAGAGTAGATGTTACCCAAGGAGAAATATTCTTAGTTATAACTTGTTAAACATTGTGCCATGCTTCATGTATTTGTGAAACAATATAATCTGTAATACCTATCAGAACTCTGATTTCAAGTTCATGAAACTATAGGACAAAAAGGAAGCCTTGTGTTAATTTAACTGAACTTTGATTTAGAAAGACATTTTTGGTGTAAGTGAAAGAAGGTAGTGAGCACAGCAGAGCTTCAGGTAGATTTCTATAGCTAAATCCATTAGTTCAGAATATAGGTAATTAATCTCTCTATATAAATAGACACAAAGATACAGATAATTCAAAGGAATGTCTGACTGTCTTTCTTCAGCTGAGCACATGGTCGTCTGAATTTGCAATCAGATTTCTCTTACTCTCTCTAGTTCAGAAGGGTCCTGAGGGACATTGAGAAGCTGATTCTGCAGGAAGTCATTTGAAACAGAGACCGAGGTGTCCTGTTTCATTGTTGTACTGTACCAATAGGTGTTAATCTGGGTATTAATATCTGTCAAGAGCCTGGGCAAATTCAGTGTGCAAGTTAATCTCTCACGATTGTCTAGAGATTACCTGGAAAAGCAGAGACCTGATAAACCAACTCTGTATGTATTCACACATATGCTCCCCCTCTCCCTCCCCCCTCCTTCCTCCCCTCCTTCTTCTCTCCCTTCCTCCTTCCCTCCCTCTCTTCCTCCCTCCCTTTCTGCCTTCTTTTCTCTTCTTGTGTTTAAGGGGATATCAGAAAAGCTCAGGCAATTGAAAATATAATATTTAATAAGGGAAGTTGAAGAAATTAGTATTTTAAATGACAGGTAGAGGCTAAGATTGATGAGGTAAAATGTTTGGCCAGAAGAGATTCCTTATCCTCTTAGACAAGTGTGAACACCCTGAAAACAAGACTTTCTACCTTGAATCTTCTGAGTAAATGACTCCTTTTCTTGGAAAAAATCCAAGCATGTTAGAGGTTAGTGACTTGCAAGATTAAATTTGCCTTTTGAGTAGCATATGCAAACCTGTTTATCTGGAAATAGGCTTTTGGCATCCTAAAGGATTCTTCCTTCTGCTTTTCTTTATAATCAGTGTCCTAGTATATTAATTCCTGGGATAATTTTCTTAAGTTTATAATTTCTCGGTAAGACCTTATCATTCTTTTGGTCCTCAATGTTGAATTTTCTAGCTTCACTGGCAGCCTCCTAGGTATGGCATTTTAGAATTTGATGTTCAAACCCATGTCTACTTTATTCCACCATAATATTAAATATCCAAACATATATTTCTTGGTCAGCACCTCTCAAGTTTGCCAAACCCTCATGTTAAAAATGCATTTCATAGAGCTGCTTCTCTTAACCAATCTATTCTGTTTTAGTTTTCATTCCTCAGATCTTTTTTTCCTCCTCCTGTCTCTGATGCCAACTTGGAAGTGGCCAAAATACAATTTTTGCAAAAGGGATGGATAAGGCATTATATTCTGTATACTTGAATTCTGTTCTTCATTTGCCAGCAGTAATTCTTTAGCCCTTGTCGTGGGGGCCCACATCCATTTTTGGCCCACAAATGGCAGTTACTGTTATTAGGTGTGAATAAGATGGATTATTTTTTCTTAAATATATTCCCTGAGACTAAGCCAGCTCTAAAACTTTTTTGGGGGCCGGCCCGGTGCTGTAGCGGTTAAGTGCGCGCTCTGCTGCTGGCGGCTGGGGTTCGGATCCCGGGCGCACACCGCTTGTCAGGCCATGCTGTGGCGGCATCCCATATCTAGTAGAGGAAGATGGGCACG